TGTGTGTGTGTGTGTGTGTGTGTGTGTGTGTGTGTGTGTGTGTGTGTGTGTGTGTGTGTGTGTGTGTGTTTGTATATATACATACACACAGTGTTTTCAAATATTACCGGTTGGTATTTCAAACCTATGTTTGTTAAGATAGCATTGTTGAACAAGAGAATAATGCTTGATTCTAAAGGAAAAATTTTGTAGGTCAATATTTTGATTCCACTCAAATCATTGGCAGATCTGTCTTCATCAGCTCATGAATCTATCTAGGATTGAAATGGTGTCCCTATCAATAAATTTGCAGTTCACAGTTAGTGTACAGAAGTTAATGTTTTCATCAGAAATACTTTCAAAAGAACCTTGTAACTACTCATAATTACCCTCCTTTTAAGACAACACTGTCCCATAAGTGTCAACACAAGCTGAATCAAACCAAGAGATAAAGTGTCTTACTGCTGTAAAGCTTCCTTCCGTACATCGATCACATGACCACTGTTTGCTGACGTCCTCTGCAGCAACACCATAGCAACCTAAACGAGGAAGGGATGGATGAAAATTAGGGGCAAAAATATTTACTCAAAACTACTTGCATGGTACTAGTTGAACAACAGAAAACAGCAGACTTGACAGCAAACAGTAGGCCCACTGTAAGCTACAAAGGATAGAACAAAATGCCACATCAACATTGTTTCCACAGAGTTTTGACTGAAAACTGGTGTTGTTCCATGCAGAAATGCAAAGAACAGCAGACTAAGTGGAAATTGAGATCTCTATGGTCTGTGTACAGGAATGTTGGTGTGGTCAAGAAAGAAATGCAGACAACACAAGAGGAAGAGTTATTGTATATCTATGGATCTATGCTGTGTAGATGTTGCTGCTTTGCTTAATGTTGGTCTGTGCCCTTGGTGTGGCAGAGTAGCACAAATGCTTAAAAAAAAAAAAAAAAGAATGAAAAAACAAATGCTGGTGGCCTTGAACAGAAAAACATTTGGGATTTAATTTAGTAAAACAAATGTGATTCTGTTCAAAGCTGGCAGCTGGTTGCAATCCATGGGCTAGAGGCTTTAGACACGTAAGCTGGGGGGAATTTTTAGTTGTAAAAAACACTTAAAGTCTGTATATGTGAGTATGTCTCTGTTCTTTTCCTCCACTATCCATCACAAAAACCAAAAATAAAATCTAAGCTCACCTCTGTTTCCTTTCCAGAGTTCAAATAACAGTACTGAGCGAAAGCTACATCAACCTGTACTTATTGTTGGGTCTCAAAACCAAACTTGTGGCTTTTTCATCAGGGTCAAATGACATGCACTTCATCTCCTGCTCCCACCCTAACATACCTTCACACACTCTCACAAACCAAGTAAATACATATGCAGCGCAGCACACATAGTGCATACATAAACCCTGCAGAGTGAAAAATGTGGTGCAATCAACACTAGCATGAGTGATTGAAAATGACTTAGGGAGAAGCAATGTCATTTTAAAGCTGTGGATTCAGGACAGTGTTTAAGACTTTCAGAAGTGAGTCTGTGGTGCCCACAAGCACATGTCTGTGAAAGACTGACTGGAGGCTTAAGATATCAGCAAAATGTGCATGATTGGAAAAGAGATCTACGTCCGTTGATGTGAATGTATGAATGACGGATTGTGATAATGCACAATGTATTGCATATGTGCGTAGAGTGGAACAGAAAGGCTCCAGGGGATTTTTAAGAGTGTGTGTGAGGGCTTGTTACTGGCTTGGGGCTTTTGAACAGGAACTATGTGTGGTGAAGACAGAGGATTCACCCTCATTCGGCTGACGAGGGAAACAAAATACTCCAAACCGCAGAGAGAGGGGGAGAAAGGGAAACAAGAAGGGGGTGGAACATTGAGACGGAGTGAGTCAGGACTTAAACCCACTGACCCTCTAACAATGACATCAGTGGGACAAGCACAACATGTGGAAACAAACAATGTCGCTTGGTCCGTTGAGTGGTAAATAGACACCATGAAATTTAGAAACACCACTATGTCCCTTAGACTGTACTCCTTCTCTTTCTCACACACACACATATACTTATGTGCCTCCCTTGTGCATACGTACTTGCATGGACTTGTAGGCAACAGCCCTGGCAGGAGAGCAGAGGGGAGGTGCCGTCTTCCTGCAGCAGAGGGTTAGTAGGAGTTGGGGGGCAGTTCTGCTCCCGGAAAGAAAAACATATCTCTGGGACCAGGGGCTTGGTCCTCCTCAACTCTCTGAAGGGAGGAGCAGGTCCTTCCATTGGAGAAGAAAACGTGGAGGTGTCCTTAGCTATGACAGGTTTATTGTCCTCTGCTTTGTCTTCAGCCTATGGTAGGAAGAGACTGGGTAATTGTCATGTTCTCCTTATGACCTAATGGACTGGGTTTTTTTTTTTTACAGGGAAGGTGGGTGATAAAAATGTTTCCATTCTTTCTTTGTAATAAAAGTTGTCATTCTGGATGGCATTTCAGCGAGGGGAAAATTACAGAGGCTGGTTCTGTAATAAACAATGGCATTGCTATAGGACCTATGGGCTTAGCAGTATTGATAATATTTGTATAAGTTGTCACGTTTTTACTCACTGTGGTTCATTTTTCACTGAAATATAAAGTCCTGCATCCCTACAGAAACAGTGTGACCGTGGGTAGAAGTAAAGAACTCTTAAAAATGTTGTGTGCAATATAACAAAGTTATAATGCCATAAAAATAAAAAATTATTTTTAAAAAGTACATTTTTTTGTATTATTCAATTTACAAAAACTGACAAACCCTGTCATCCACATAACATTTTTCTCATCATTCACATCATCATTCAGGAGTGACCAACGCTGGAGAAAAAAAAACGGTGGCTCTACATATGATAGATAATTCCCTACTTTCATTTTTAATTAGTTTCCAACCTGTTTTTTTTTAATCTACTCTGTGTACACACAGTCTGCAGTTCATTCCAGTTCAGCACAAAAAGTCCCTGAATTTTTGTCACTTGACTGTTGGTTGCACAGAGTAGTGCAGAATTTCATGTTTTTTACAGAATCTGGTTACTACGAACTGTTTTTGACTTTTTGGGGATTTTTTGGAAATGAGACATGTAGAATGAAGTGATTTTGATTAAATACCAGATTTCTTTTTTTGCTTGGATTTTCGTAATGAAACTGAAAGCCATACAACTTGACGGTGACCAAGTTAAAAAGCCAACAGTTGTGAATTACTTCAGTGATTCTTTTTGAATGTCAATTAGGTTACATTTTCACAATAAAGAAGGAACCGGTGTCTTCGCCTGCAATGTGCAAGATGTTCGCGTCACATAAATTCAGCTTGAGTGAAAGAGAAAAGACCAAATCACTCCTTAGCAACACATTACAACAGCCCATTTGATTACCTTTAGGGGTCTTTACTTTTTCTATCATTGCATGAGTTGATGATACTTGGAAAGACTTGATTAAACTCAGTATAGCAACAGTAAATTCAGCTTCACCAATAGATACAGATACACTACAAATCCTAAATATTTCTGCAGACTGGACCTAAAATACATACGGACCTGCAAGGTTGTTGATAAACTATGAACTGTAAGTATCACAGGAGTGGTAGGTGAAAAATCACGTGCTCAAGACAGGATCAGAATTACTAACCAAAGAAATATTAACAATCACCTCACCTCCCCTGAAAAATGCCAACCACATGATATACAGATCTCGTATACATCCTAACAAGACCATATTGCAATACATGCTGTATACGCACGAATGGAACTGTGCATTTTATGAACAAGCATCTTCCAAACGACACTAATTATATATTTACGTTGCACTCATCTTTACCTGATAATAGGGCATGAAGAGTGTGCACACAGCACAGTGTGGCTGCATGTTGGCTGCATGAGCATTGTACTCCCTCTCTGCTGTGAAGCAGCTCTTTTTGTTCTGCCACAGGTAGATGAGGGGCTTTGCCCAGGCTTCCATTTCCTGCTCCCCCTCCTCCTCTGCCAGGCTTGCTTCAGGGGGCTCTAATTAGAGACAAAATAAAGCCTTACAACCTCGCAATCACTTATCTATTCAACTGGTGCTTCTTGTACTATGGCCCAGTTGATGATTCATGCAATACAACGTTCAAATCTCCTGCCTGGTAGTTTGTTAATTAAGCCTATTTTGAATCTGAAATAATCATGTGACCTGTATATCAAAAAAACAGCATGCATCACTTCTATAATTGACTTATGCTCTATTAATACACTTGCACAGACTTCCTGCTAAGTCAGATCTAATCCATTCACAGTGGTGACAATTTCCTCCAGTGACCTGAAAAAATTTTTTTATTCACTAGGCACCTGCCTGTTTACAAAATTGCCAAAAATAATTAAGCACCCTCATCATCATTAAACAGGCTTCTTACAGCCATGGTCATTTCTTACTCAGGGATTAGTAACTACAATGGCTGCTGAATTATTCATCCCTTTTCACAACCATGGAGATGATGAATGTAACTATGTGTGTATATGTGCCTGACGAGTTGTTAATGGAGGGCCCTCCACCCCACTCTGTTAAAACCATGAAAACAAATAGAAGATCTATCACCAGATCATTTTACTGTGGTAGGCCTGAGAATTAAATCTGTTTGGTTTATGTGTACATTGACGTCAGAAGAATCATTTGTGGGGACATAAAATTTGAAAAACGGGGAGGGGAAGTGGGGACCACAGAGAGGGATGGTTAACTGTGGGAGAACACAAAAGTTACCTTAATAATATTTTTTTTTCTGTTAATGGTACTAGGACAACCAGTCTTATGAATCTTGTCTATGTCTATGAATTCTTGTCCTTCTAGCTACAATACCTTTAACAGAGAAAATGTTGTGGTTTTTAGTTTAAAAACCCAATTAGTCTAAAAAAAAATGTTATGGCAACTGTATTCTGGATAACTGGTTCCCTGTAATGGAGGATCATGGTTTCTGGCCTGATGCCACCCACTATGCAGCACTAACCACAACAGGAAATGTCCCTCAGTTTTTATTGAAATAAGCATGACTTTTGGCTTACACCATGTGCATGTGTCACTGTCTGAATGTAGGAGTCTTTTTAGGGATAAACCATAGAAATACCTTGCAGTGAACTGTGTGAACTGTGTGAACTGTGTGTGTGTGTGTGTGTGTGTGTGTGTGTGTGTGTGTGTGTGTGTGTGTGTGTGTGTGTGTGTGTGTGTGTGTGTGTGTGTGTGCGCATGTGTCTTAATGTGCCAACCATCGTCACTGACGGCCTGTTGTTTGACAGCAGTGGGTACAGCCCTTGCAGTGGGTTTCCTGAGTGGGTGACGCCAGCTCTTAGTGGTCCTCTTCACTGACAAGGCAGGGTACTGGCATGGACAGGCATCATTGGAAGGTGTTAGCAGGGCAAATAACCTGTGTTTTTACAAGCAATAATCTGAATGACTATAATTGTGTGTAAAAAAAAAAACAAACAAAAAAAACACTCACAGCACAAACCTCCCCAGGTTCCAGGCCTGATTCATCACACTCATAATTACTTGTATCATTTTCCTCCTCTTCTTCTTCCTCATCAGATGACTCACTACTGCTTTCTCCCTTGGCACTACTTTGATGCTCTGCCTCTTCGCCATCAGATCCCCCTTCTTCCATATCAGACACCCCATCCTGTTCTTCGTTTCCCATCCTGAGAGGTGAAACAGCCGTTTCTGAGCGCAGACTCTCCTCTGCTTCCCTTTGCCTCCCCAGCTCCCTGCACAGGGACAGGGCTTCAGTCCCATCCACTTCATCTCTTTGCAGCTCATAATCTCCACAAAGCCCTAGGGGCTCAATAGCACCAACTGAAACTAGAGCTGTGGGCTCAAGCTGGGCCCAGGTCAGAGCCCCACCTTCTTCTCCCTGGTTCTCTGACACACGGAGGTCTTGTTCTGGGTCTTCGAGGTCTGTGACCTCTTTGCATTGAGGTTCAGTCCACATAGTGTAAGGCAGAGGGTCGTGGGTGAAGTCAGAAGGGAGCTCTGGGTGCAGACTCTGGATGAGGACTGCAGGACTCTGGGAATTGAGGTTTTTCCAGATGCTACTGGAGAAGGTTTTGGGCTCCATGTATGGGTTCTGGGAAGTACAATGGGAAGGAGAATATGTTTTGTGGTGGTGGAGTTGTAATGCTGAGTGGCTGTCACTTTGAGTGCATAATGGTGGTGCAGCAGCTAAAAGATTACTATTTGAGGTACTTGTTAACAGAGAGCCAGCACTGTTCACACTAATTGCACTGTCTTTTTGAGGTGGGTCTTTGGAGTTATCTTTACTTGCAAACTCTGGCAAGTTGGGTTGCTGCTCTCTTTGAGGTGCTGTGCTCTGAACTAGCTGGCCAGGGGCAGCACCACTCTGCCCAGGAATAAGATTTTCCAGCTTTGCAGGATCCTTTCCTGCTGCAACTGCAGGCGTTACTAGCATTTCGTGGACACCACCAGATGTTATTTTGTGCATACCACTGGCAGTTAAATGAGCCGTGTTTCCCTCTAAACCAGACACTGCTGCCCCTTCACAATTATATGAAGAATCTAAATGCCAGTTGTTGGCATGTTCTACTGCACGAGGTTCTGCTGACATCATTAAATCAGTCTCTTTCTCTTCCTCTTTGGCTTCATGTGTGGATGGGGAGCCAGTTGGCGTCTCCCTCTGAAGCACAGGTGCAATCTGGTGACTGCACAAGCTAGTTTTCGGGAAGTCAGTTAGCCCATCATCAGCAGGGGTAAGGGAGGGCATCTCTTGGGTCAGTACAGGAGGCAAAGGGCAAATGCCAACCTGATCATCTGGCTCAGGAGTTAGTTGTGGCATATCCACTGCATTCCTCTGTAGAAGAGGAGGGAAAAGATTTTCCTCAGTGTTGCTTTTTGCTAAACTGCAATTGTGTTGTGATTGGGAGAAAGTGCCACAAGATGTGGAACTATCCCCCTCTGGCTCTCTTTTGAGATCATAAAGTGCTTCTGTAGTGGAGTGTGGATTGATATGTTTTGGATCAACAACTACGTCTGTTTTCTCTGTTTTAATAGTGTTATTAGTGTACTTCTCTGCACCTGTGTCCATGTTGCTTTCTGTGTTGGATGTTAGATTTAAAGTTTCTTCTCTACATGACGAACCAGATGTTTGAGTTTTAGAGTCAAGGGAACACAAGCCCATCACAGTCTGAGCAGAATTTCGCATGTGGAAAGATGAGTTTAGTTTGCTGGTTTCCAGGGGAGGGATCCTGATTGAGCAGTCTTTACAAGTTGAGAGGTCTCTTGGTTCAGAAGAGCAACACTTTGACTCATTAGTTTCCAGATGCATCTGATTGGCCTCAGGCCTTGGTATGAGTCCTTCAGGAGTCCTGCTTGTGACCCCTGGCCCTGAGAGGTGTTGAGGGTCAGCTTGAGAGACTGCTTCCACCTTTAGGTCAGTCTTCACTGGTGAGGCAGAGGAGCTGGAGAGAGCGTTTTGGGATGGCTCCTTATTGGGAAACCCCAAACTTTTACTCTCTACACGATTTACCTTGACCACACACATCTGTCTGCAAGGACCTGTTGAGGATTCACGGATAGAAAAAATGTGAAATCTACTATCAAATAAACAAGCAATGTGAGACATTTTTACAAATCTCAGTTGAAAGAATTTATAGTATAAGGGAATACACACACTGATAACTGTCTGAATCACACACACAAACTCAATATCAAGGCAGTCTGTGCTCTCTTCAGATCAAAGAGACACGCAAAGTCTTGAATGCCTTTCATTGTCATCAGTCAGTTTCTTACCAGAAAGCGGAACAGAATTTGGATTCTGGTTGTGCTTTGACTCAGCTTCCTTTTTCTTTTCTTTGTCTTCTTCTCTGCAAGTTGTCCCTGCAGCAGACCTTCGCACCTTAGGCCCAGGTGGACCACCCACACCTTTCCTCTTGGCGTTGTTCAATGCTGCACTGTCATCCAGGCCAACAGGCTCTTCGGTGGTTCTGAGACGCTTGGAGCGCATACGAGAGTGGCTGCTGCTGTAAGAAGGGAGACAGATCAAACAAGATTGAAACTCAAAACCCTGATTAAGGCTGAAAAGCAATGAAACCAAATGTAGAATTTTATGACTTCGGAGACAAGTGCATTTGGCTTTTGCTGTGAAATATTTCTGGCCACATAATATTAGGTTCACTAGTCACCAAATAACCCCCCATCTGATACATACCCAAATGTTGCTCCATTTCTACTCAATGTTTAGCACTACTCATACTCCCTCCCTACTACCACCATTAGCTGCAACACACAACTCTCTGTGACAGGAAACAGTAGAAACATTGTCAGAGTATGATAACAGTACCCTTTATTAGTAGACTTTGTCTTGTGACGCCTGTGCAACCAGCTCTGCAGCTCTGGTGTTGTACTGGGAGTAGCAAGTGTGTGGTCAATAGGCATTGAATCTTTGCCCAGCATCCAGTTAGCATAGCGGTCAGGCTGAAAACGCTTCACAAAGGGTTCCATGGATATCTTTACCATGTCCTTGCTACAAGTGCACTAAAGAAGGGCAAAAAGGAAAAGACCATGATTATGCCTGAAATTAATTGTAAAAGCCATATTTCTTTGTCAGTGCTATTAAAGATATGCACTGATGCACAGTTTTAAGGTAAATTCTCATCCAATTGAGTGCAATGCTACCTGTGTGGCAACCTTGCCATAGTCTATCCAGCGCACAGTGGCGAAGTTTGTTGACTCCGCACAGTTAAACCCATGATTGAATCCAGCATGGTAACCATAAGGGAAGGTGATCATGAACTCTCCAGCTTCCTGAGTAATCTGATAATTTATTATAGGGATGGAAGAAGGCAAAGGAATGGAGATTACATCAGATTGTACTAGAAAACATGAGTGATCAAAACAATACATTTTTATTTAGATTTTTTTTTTAATGTGCAAATAAAAGGAAACTGTTGACATAATTAAAATAAGCCACGGCAGATTTCTGCAATCAATCAGAGTACTACTTATTTTAGTGGCAAGAAAATCTCTTTTCACAAGTTGGTAAATAAATGAAGTATAAGTGGCAAGAAAAGGAGGACTGAGAGTTTTTTCAAAGGGGGTTGAGAACCTACCTTATCAAAGGGAATGCCATACTTCTTTAGTATGGAAGGGGAGATTAGAGTCATCTTGTGACGAAGAAAAGCTTCACACCCCTTGAAGCTGTTGGGAAAAAAACCTGACAGAGACACGCACACACACACCATTAGAGAGACTTAGCTAGTCAAAAAAGATAAAACACAGATTAATAAAAAGCATAACTAAAAAGCTAAGTGAAAGGTGGTTTATGGTTTATGGTTGCAACATTTTTAGAATATAAAGTACAGTGGAATTTTTTTTGAGCTACTAATTATTATTTTATCCATTAACTTATTTTAAACATACCTACTTCCTCTGAGAGACCGTAAAGAAAACCCAGTGGTGTTCTAGTTTACAATGAATGAAACTGTAACCAGGAAAAGCATTGTATTTTTACCTAACAAATGATTTTGTATAAACCTTAAACACCACAACTTTCCACAGTAAAACAGTTCCAATTCCAATCCAATCCACTACACAGACATCCTACTTCCCTCCGGCAGTGTTTCAGTTGGCAAAAGATGTAATGCTGAATGCCAGTTTCACTAAAACCCCAAGCAACGTTGAGCAGGACTTTTGTGAGGGTTGCAGAATAGAAACAGAAAATCCAAACAAACTTAAAAAAAAAAGACCAAAAAAGACATTAATCCCATTCATTAAACCGATCAAGAAAGGCCATCGCTGCAATGAAGGCATCTTTAAAGTGGCATACAGCCGAACAAAGCACAAGAAATTGTTGACTGATAGTGAGATGGTATATGAGGCAATAATTGCAGTTGAAGTTATGTTATTCAAAGACCATCATTGTCCCAATACCAGATTTTCACTACATGATTATTGTGGCCAAAAGAATCAAAATAATGGTCATGATATCTTTAGAAAATGTCTCATGTTTAGCAAATGAATTACACACAAAATATTAGTGTAGGAAGCTAGACTGCGTAACCATACCTGTACTGTATGTTGTTGGAGTGCCAATATCATAAATTTAAAAAAATAAAAAATAAATCAAGCACCTGAAAATTACTGGCAATGGATTATTTCTGATATCATCATGTGTGTATTATTACTATGACATCAATATTTCTTCTTTTTTTTAAAAAAAAAATCATGTCGTTATCATCCGCACCGTTATATCATGACACCCCTATTAAGGACCATAAAAGCAAGAAAAAACACAGACAGATGAAGATTTAGTAGGCTCCATTAGAGTAACACTACGTGGATACCCTCCAGCATACACCTCTCTTGGTGACCCCATTTTGTGAATTTTTGATTTCTGAAAAGGGTGATGTGGGACAAGAAAATATAAATAATTAAAACCTTGTTTTCTTTTTCGTGATTCGACGTGATACTGTAAGTAGAATATTTTGTGAGCTTTACGCATTGACAGTGAAACATATGTATACAACAATTTAAGAGGTCAAAAATTAAGTTTTGGGTAATGATATCTGGCATGTTTACACATAATAAACTTAATCACCTGGTTTGGTTGAGAGATCAGTTTGAGTGATATGATATGATATGATATGATATGATATGATATGATATGATATGATATGATATGATATGATATATGTGTACATAAATATAATTTGTAATTTAAGATATGAGTAGCTGTCAACCATTTACATTTTGTAATATTACCTCTGAGGGAAAATTAGGTTAAAGAACCCCGTTCTATACATTTGTGATTCTGTTCTGCTGTATATTTACTTATTCAGTGATGTAATCAACATGGCTGTCATGGGATTATCAAGGTATGTATTTGTCAATACTTCAAACATTTTACAGCTCAACAAGGGGCAGTTCTGTGTATTTGTAGTCAGTCTTCATTAGCATGCTGCATCTTTAGCTTTGCCATTACCTCAAGTGCCCTCTCACTGCAGAGATTAAATTAGGCTGTACTTTGTTGTTTAATGCAGACCTGCCTCTGTATTCTGTGACTGTAATTTAATAATTATTTCATTACCTTGGCCAACTCCATTCATACAGGTAAGGCAGAGAATATAAATTACTCTGTTACCTGTAGCCAGACGTTCCAGTCTCTTCCCATGCTCAGGTGGGATGGCATACCTGTTAGAGACAGAGATATGGTGCAGACAGAATTATTTTATGATTATGTATGTGAAATGCATGCATTGTTAATTATGCCTACAGTGTAGCATACACTGGCATTTGCATCAACAAAAAAATTCAAGGAGCTTTTACAATTTCAAGACTGCCATCAAGTGGTGGAAAAATGAATAGTTAAAAGAAGGCTGATCAACCTTTTCCAACACTACATTTTTTTTCTTTTTTTAAGATTTATTTATTTATAGTGGCAATGCAAACAGGCAGGAAATAAGGGGAATAAGAGTAGGTGAATGACATGTAGCAGGGACTCAGTATATGAGCACCAGTGGGGTATGCACCCTAACTACTCATCTGTTGGGTCACCCCAACACTGCCCTCTTAATTACTATAATTAAGTAATAATCATTACAATATACAGTTAAGTGTTACCCTTGATTCCCTTGATTTTTCTCTAGAATCTTCCTATAATCTGCTTGCAGTTACATTTTTCTGACACATGCTGAACATTTACAATGTAGACATGGTAATGCAATAAATCTAAGTTTAATTAAGTCTCTGATAGGGACAAGATAGCCATCACTGATTGCTGTTGGCTTGACCTTATTCTGCATTTTCTTGTGCCATGCTGCTGATGCTGAATATAAACTATTCCCAAAGTTCCCAGCGAGAAACCCAGGGAGAGTGACAGAATTCCCTCAAGGCTTGACTAGGCATTCCATTTGACTAGTACCATCCTCCCTCAGGCCTGTGGCATTTCTATCATCATATCAGCTGTCAGCTTAACACAGCAGTGAAAGACAGGAGGAGAAGGAGAGGGAACCTCAGGTAGAGGTGACACAAGGAGTTGGAGGGAGCAGTGGATTGAGAAGAGGTGAGAGAGGCGCATCTTTAAGCTGCTCCCCTCCAGGGATGAGATGTCAAAACAGCAGCAAGATGAAAGAGTATACGTCAGTGTGTGTGTACTAGATGATAAGGGTATGTATGTGTGTGGGTACTTGGCACACTAGGCTGCTCTTTGTGAGTGTGTACGTCTGTTTCTGTGTATATGTGTGACACTGTCTGGCTATGACACTGATCCCTGTGGGGTTGCAGGGCTCACTGCTCTAATGAGCAGAACTCCCCCCAGGGCAAGAGAGAGAAATGGAGCACGCCAGGCTGACAAAGAAATAAAAAGCGAACTCCATTTTGATCTACCTGCATTTTTTACCTCTTCTGTACTTTATCATTTCAATCCTAACCTCAAAATAACAAAGCTTCAATTAGTACTTTTAGAAATACTAATTAAAGCCATGCAATATATATATAAATCTGTGAAAAATGAATACCATTTCATGGACTACCAAACAAATTTGACAAATTTACAGTAGCAATGTGTACTATGGGTTGACTGATTAAAGTTCTACATTTTTCCTTGTTCCATTGTAAAATAGAAAAGACAGCCTCCAAGAAATCAAACCAAATGCTTGTACCATTGGACAGTAGCACAGCTCAATACACACTCAATCTCTGGAAAGTCTCCAAATGTAGTACCTTTTCTATCTTCCTTAGTATTTAGTCTCTCTGAATAGTCACTTTTTACAGGGGACTTTTTCCTCAGTGTGCCAGGAAGTACTAAAGGGAGAAAGCCCTTGGGCCATATGCAACAGAATTGCAATGCAAATCAAATGAAGCCTGTGACACTGTAAGTAATTTACATTTTCTATCCACTTTAATTATGAAAAAACAATGCAGAATGATGAAGACGGATTTTGCAACCCCGACACAAATATGCACATGGATTCCCAAAAAAGGTTGTGAATCTCCAGATATTGTTTCCAACGCTCAATAGACCACATACTCTGCTTTGTATTCCCTTAACAGGTCACGTGTCACGTTCACACTTCCAATACTTTCCCATACATTTTTCCTTGTTCCAGTTCAAGAAAAGGGTCCTATAAACTGTGACATGAATCATCACAGTCTCTGGGGACCTGCTACAGTTTAGACTGTTGTGACTGAGGATAGTGAGCCACTTCTCACAGTCAATCTAGGCATCATAGTTGGACAAGATGAAAAAAGATTGACCTGACCTGTTTATGGTGTAAGCTGTAATGCGCACTTCACACCATTTCCTATTCAAGGGAACAACCTTGAGTGTTGCCAACTTGTTGAATGTACAAGATATATAAAGCCCCTTTCAGAGATGTACTCTTTTTCATTATTCTGTCGGCATCTGAACATGTTAGCTTCATGTCTGAATGAGCACCCTGATCACTTTGTCATAAAAGTCGTGATGCCAGTAAAACCTAGTAAGTAGGACTTCCGGGTGTTAGATGGAGTAGAAGGACGTGTGTAGAGAGGCTCTCCAGCGTAGATTCAATAACTTCGCAAAAAAAAACTCGTTACTCTAGCAGAAAGTGAACATCTAGATAGACAGAGAGAACCCGAAACAGAAAGACTCGACAGAGAAAAGCCACAATGCCGAAAACTCAAGACAAAAACAGCTCCGCCACCAAAGATAGCAAAGTAGCATCACAAGCTAGCGGCAACTCATGTGGAGCTACAGGACACCCCGGAACGAGCATAACGCCGGGAGACCTACTGGAAGCGATAAAGGAGCTAAAATCCGAGCTGAAGAGGGACAACGACAACTTGAGAAAGGACCTTAACTCCTTTCACACAGAAGTGAGCGGTAAACTCGATGGTCTGGCCGAAGAGATGCAGGGGCTGAAGGAGCGAGTGGGTGAGATGGAGACACGAGTGGGGCAAGTGGAGGACATGGCCGTGGAAATGACCGAAGCGCTCACAACAGCTATAAAGCGCCAGAAAACTCTGCAACAAAAGCTCACAGATTTGGAGTCCAGATCAAGAAGAAACAACATCCGCATCTTTGGAGTTGCAGAGGGAGAAGAGGGAAGCTCTGTGATGCGCTTCGTCTCAGACCTTCTCAAACGTGAGCTGCCACTACCCACAGACATGGACCTTAAGATACAGCGGGCTCATCGTTCCCTCGCTCCGAAACCAAGACCAGAGGCCCCACCGAGACCCCTGATCATTAACTTCCAGGAATTCACAACTAAAGAAACTGTGTTAAGAGAAGCCTGGAAAAGGGGTAAGATTCAACTCGGCAACCGCCCGCTGTTCTTCGATCATGACTACGCCGCAGAGATCGTACAGAAGCGTAGGGAATACAACGCGATAAAGAAATGCCTGAAGGCAAAGGGCATACGTTTCCAGACCCCCTACACCAGTATGAGAATCCACTGGGACAGCGGAGCCCGGACCTACACTAGCGCGCATGATGCGGGGCGGGAGCTGCAGAGACGGGGCTACAGTGTGGAGGTGCCTGCCGCGACGGACAAGGAGGACCCCGACGTGACCCGGCTGAAAGAGCTGCTGGGCTGGCAGCGACAGGGCAGGAACCCACAGGAAATGACATCTAATGCGGCTGATAGAGCTAAGGACAGACTCCGGAAGTTTCAGAGGAGCCCCACAGAGTGACAGAAAAATCGGCTTTGGGAGCAGTAATATGATGGACATGTAATCCACTTTCTGGAAGAACACCTGAGCTGGGAGCGGCTCCAGGGACAGGACTGAGACCGTTGGACACATAGGATGGTAGTAGTTTCACTACTAAGCCCCCTAATAGGGCCCTTTCTTTACGACAGGTTTTACCCTAGACCCACCAACGGGGTC